GCTTCACCAATTTAATCATTTAATGTAGTCTTCCTTCTCCCAGCAACTGTCTAGTTAGTGACTTGGGTTAACATATTTCAACAGAACAGTACAATTGAAACTGCACAGATGACTTCCCCAAACAAAAGCAGTATGTGCTAACCTGACATTTTTGATCCTCCCCACTTTTTGGTGAGGGAATGGCCACAAATTTCATTCTTTCGTCCCCACTGAAGGGGACATTTCTACTGTCACTGCTGGACCCCACAAGAATTTCATGAGTACCCAATGAAAATAGCTTCCATTCTCCACAAACATACCTTAACAGAGCTTAGTAGTATGATATCCCATGCTTCACCATTTGTAATGTTTCATGAAGTGTAGATGAAGCCATCATTATGCTGATTAGCATCTCCCAAAGCTTAGCCAACAAAAGGAAGATACAACACCAAAGACTGGAGAGTGGGTCACGGTATGGTTAATATAAAGAAATTTCATATCCACGTGTTAGCTTGTTACCTCCAAAATGGAACAGAGCCAGGATTTTGACTGCCAGATGGAAAGTAACATCCAGAAACATGCATATCTCAGCCACATCTGGCTACCGTGAATATTTTGGCCAAGTATTGTTACTTCACAAGTAGTAATTCCTACTCAGGACAGGAAGCATGGTCTCAGTCGATAATGATTTCTCAGCTTACACCTTTCTAGAATAAAAAATCTGACATTTCTAGAGGTGCTATATTCTGAGCAGCTACATTAAGTTTCCCCCAAGACACAAAAAGTCTTAATAGAATGGTCTGCAAAAAGGATCTCCCATTAAACAGATACTACTCCTTGAATCATTAAGGAGAACTGGCTTTTAACAGCTCAGGCAGACACCCAGCATTTGTGAGGTGTCCAGTCTAACCAGGCTGAAAGAAATGCCACTGGCTTTTAACTTCATATAGTAGCAAGAATCCATACATTTCAAAAAAAAAAAAAACCTTCTCATCACCTCCCCTGCTTTCTCCTGCATCAGGAATAGAATAAAAAAAAAAAAAAAGACAGCACAGTGGTGATGTCCTTGTTTCAAGCAGTCTTCCTGCTGCAAGACAGCATCAGCTATGTTTTAAATATTTATGAGACTTGTAGGTCAGACCCAGAGGTCTTGGGTTCCAGCAGCAATCTTAAGTCTTTAAGCTAGGGTGAGGTTTTCTGTTCCTAAATGCTTGTTATAAATCAAACAAGCCTTCAGATCAAACAGATCAGATCCAACTGGTTGTATTTGAAATCCATGGCACAGACTAAAGCACTGTCAATGCAAACAGCTAAAATATTTTTGATAAAAGTGGTGCTGGTGAATATTATCAGGACTTCGCTTACAAGGTAATACACAAGTTCTTTTGATTAGTACTAGAACCAAAAACCTGCTTTCCTACTTAACAGCACTCTGAATCAAAGTAATTCCAACCTCCAGAAAAAGTGTCATTGCAATGAATTTTATTCTACATAGGAGTAATGACCAGCCAAGCCCATGCACTGCTGCTCCTTTTCCTAAAGGACTACATAACTACCATGCAAAACCTTCTAATATCAAAACTGCTCAATTCACTCACTGTAATAGCTTTAAGATATTTGATAAGTCTTTCAAAACATGGTGAGATGCCAACAGGTATGAAATGCCACAAGCCACTTTTTTATAGTAAAGAATAACTTCTCTTAATTAAAAGATGTATAAACAGTACATTAAGTTTAACAGTCCTGTCAAAATGTACAAACCCTCAAGGTTAACACAAGTTGACCAAGATATAGTACATGGCCCTTGCTGAGGAAGACATCTCAGAACACACAAGGGAGAAGGGCTACACAACACTATTTTACATTAATTCATCCAGAAAGCAGCATAATTTTGACAGGCTTCAGAGAAAGGTAATCCACCTGGGTACTACACTTCAGATAATTAAGCCAATCCTTGTAGCCAGGACACATACCTGCACTTGCCACTGACCACACAATTCACAATGAGAACCTTGAACCATCAGATTATCCCTTCAATTTAACCTCTGTCATTAGTATAACATGCTCCTCCCTGAGTTTGCTACACATATGTTCACAGAAAAACCTCAAGTTGATAGTAGGACCAGATGCATTAAAAATGAACTGAAAGCCCACATATAGTAACTCTCCCTTGTAAGTTGACATTCTCATCTCTCTAACACTGATAACTGGGAATTACAGTTGGGAGAAAGAGAAAAACAGAACATACAGCTAAAAAAAATATTTACCTAGGATCTGGATAACTGCCACTACTCTTTTGGCATAAGCTCTGAAATCATTCAGTTGGAAGGTTTTTTGATGAACTAATGATTTATCTACAGAGAATATTATCCACATCTGCTACCTGGATCTGCCTCAAAAATTCACTGAGAATAATCATCTAGTAAAGACTTAACTCACTGTGGCCATCCAAAACAAAGGATTCTTGCCAGAGTCATAGTCCTTCAGACCCCAGCATCAGATATAGGGCCTTGGATGTCCTGGGTATGAAAGAATGGTCCAGAGGAAGGGCAGTAAATCTCTTGAAAATATTGCGAGCCAAATCTGGTCTGTCCTACTTGTGAAGCAGTAGCTGAAAATAAGCGTGTTACCCAGGACAGTGTCAAAAGCTTTAACAATTCATGAAGATCTTACCTTAAGGTGTTGCCAACCTCCTAACTAGACATTACTCCGAAACTGAAATTACCAGATCAATAACACTGTGTTTATATATAGTCTTGTATGTTCTGACTTCAGATGCACCCAACTTTATCAGGAAGGCCACATTAACATTTCTATATCACAATTTCATCACTTGCATTGGATCAATTGTATTAATATCATAAAATTTCATGTTATTGCTGCAAAGCTAGAAATTCATTCAGCTGGGCCTTAAAAGAAAAGGAAGAACTCTTCTGCAAGGCCATATGGCACAATTTTATTTCAACAGGTCATCAGCAGCACCTACAAACATTCAGAACTAAGCAGGACCAAGAAGCCTCAGAAGTACAGGCAAAGTTACTTTAACAAAATAAAAGCTTTACCACAAGCAAGAAAGCTTACTTTCAGGTACAATTCTTAAACATAATCTACCCACCCCATCACACTACAGCACGTGGCCATTAACAAAGAAGTCTAGCTCAAGAAAAACAGTATTTTGAATTCTGTCATTTTCCTTCTATTAATCATACTTCCTTAAATAAGACTGTAGTGACTGCATGACAACATTTGGCCTCCTATTCTCCCCACAGGTTTGTTTCTCAACAGGTCATCAGCAGCACCTACAAACATTCAGAACTAAGCAGGACCAAGAAGCCTCAGAAGTACAGGCAAAGTTACTTTAACAAAATAAAAGCTTTACCACAAGCAAGAAAGCTTACTTTCAGGTACAATTCTTAAACATAATCTACCCACCCCATCACACTACAGCATGTGGCCATTAACAAAGAAGCTCAAGAAAAACAGTATTTTGAATTCTGTAATGTTCCTTCTATTAATCATACTTCCTTAAATAAGACTGTAGTGACTGCATGACAACATTTGGCCTCCTATTCTCCCCACAGGTTTGTTTCTCAAATCAGGGAATGCACATATTAACAAAATAGGTCTCCTCTGCAACAGGAAATTCTGCTTAGTCCCCAACAGATGTGCATTTTTCAGCTGGGCCTAGTTACATCATTATTATTTCTCTAGCTACTCAGGCTCAATATATTTCTTAATACTCAGTATTATTCTCATTGAACTGCCAGCATCATGACATATGAAAGGTCTCTTCCATCTTCTATATCCATTTTAATTCTGAACAAACAAGGTCTGAAGAACTGAACTTTTAACAATAACATTGAATAATGTTAATGAATGCTTAGTTGTTTCTGTATTATCACTGAGCAATAGACAACAAAAAAATCACCTCACAGCTCAATTCTAAAGGCTTCTTATGACTTGCATTTACATGACCACCAGCCAAAAGGCACTGTATTCTAGTTCCAAAGCATTATCAAGGATCTGGCAGGACCAAGGCTTTCCTTTGGAAGTAGGGCTGGAAAGGAATACAGTCTTTGAGTCTAGTGCACAGGTATTTACCATCTGCTCTCTCTCTCTCATTTGTTGCAGGATCATCTCTTTTAGCATAGATCCAGGTAGGCTCCAAACCACATTAAGCTGTTATTCAAATTATTAATATGCTCCAGTTTGACTTGCTTTTAATGTGAGTGTCCTCAAAGACACTGGGTCACTACCTTCAAGACCCCACCTCAAAAATTAAAAAGGCCAATGCTTTAAGCATTGGGAAGAACTCTTACTTACAGAAATGCTTAGAGCAGACTACAAGTACTCATCTCATTAAGAACTCATTTTGCACAGCAACCCCCTACAGTTTCAGTTTATAAAAACAGTAGTTCAGTTAAGGGAGTATCAGCCAAGAAAAGATACTACTGCTTTCCCTTGCCCCAAGGGTTTTTCCAGATTTCCCTTGTTAAAAGAAAGTGCTTATTAACTCAAGCTCTACCTTATAGGTAGATTAACACAGTAAAACTTCACAAGTCTTGAGTACATGTTTCGGTACCAGAATAAGAGAATGCTGACAAAAAGAGACAATCAAAATAATCTTAACTGCAAGTGGGCAATACTGGTTTTGAACAAAAAGGCAACAAATTCCATTCTACAATGCCCCATTATGTGTACCAAAAAGTAACATTTAAGAGATTTATTTCTGTCTTTGGGATAGCATATTCACTCCTTTTTTAGCACAACAGAAAGAATAAGCATTCGGAAATTAGTAGAATACCAAAAATAAACAATAGAAGTGAAAACTGAAATCCGGTTCAAATAAGAAGCAGAACTCAGTGTTGTATTGACAGTACTAGTTCCCAGCTTTCCAAAAAACTCAGGCACTAGAACAGGTATTAGTATTGGTTTTAAACACTTTTGACAACCCAAGAACATCCTCTTTCAACACAAGTGCTGGTTTTGAAGAGGCACTTAACTTTTTTAGGAGTCCATACCTTGAATGTACCATTTGGATTTTTCATATATGAAACCAAAAAGATGTCCACTGGTAGCAGCGCTGATGAGATGAGAGCAACTGCCAGAGCAAAGATAGCTGTTATGGTAGAAATCACTTCACTTTCCCGCCGACTCTGATACTTGCGCACATAAACCCAGCAGAAAATCAGAATAGCCTGAAATACACAGGGAAAGATAGTTAGGAGTTACGTAACAATGATGTCAGAAAGCAGGTAGTGAAGTCAGACCCTGTATCTTGGTATCGATGACTGACACCAACACACTTTTTACCCAAGCCCTACGCATCAGTGTCATACTCCCCACGCATTAACTCACTCTTTGTACCTTGGCTAAGAACAGCCTGAGCAACAACAGGAGCAGCACTCACACCGGAAACGGGGTACAAGGCAAACAAGCACCACCCGGAAGGGACGGCAGCCCCGCACCCTCCGCTCTGG